GTGGAAGCACGTCTAGGTGAGTACAGAGGGGCCTGGTAGCCTGGTGGATAGCGCGCAGGACTCGTAATTCTGTGGCGCGGGTTTGATTCCCGCACTAGGCAGAAACAAATGGGCAAAGTTTCTTTCACCCTGAATGCCCCTGTTACCTAGCAGTAAATAGGTACCTGGGAGTTAGTCAGCTGTCACGGACTGCTTCCTGGTGTGTGTGTGTGTGCGGTGTGGAAAAAAAAGTAGTTAGTAACAGTTGATTGACAGTTGAGAGGCGGGACCAAAGAGCCAAAGCTCAACTCCCGCAAGCACAACTAGGTGAATACAGGGAGGAGGGGGGGGGAGGAAGACCCGGGGTTTACAGCAGGTTTACAACCATTTACATCAAGCAGTTTACGAGGCTACACTCAGTAAAATTGGTTAGCGTCGAAAAATCTGCATTTGGGTTTAGGCTTGGATCCCGAGTTTATTGGGTGCGCCTCCGTGTATATGCCACCCACACCCCTGCAGGACCAGATTCACGAAGCAGCTAGGCAAGCACTTACGAACCTGTACATCTTTTCTCAATCTTTGGCGGCTTTGTTTACAATTATTAAACAGTTAATGAACTCCGAAGCACCAGGAGGCTGTTTATAACAATAACAACAGTTGATTGGCAAGTTTTCATGCTTGTAAACTGTTTAATAAATGTAACCAAAGCCGTCAAAGATTGAAGAAAGATGTACACGTTCGTAAGTGCTTGCGTAACTGCTTCGTGAATCTGGCCCCTGGCTCTCTCCCTGCCGGTACTCCAGGCAGTAGTGATGACGTGATGAATAAAGTTTTATCTCTCATATGTTGATTTTAGTGAAGTTTTATCTGATGAGTTTGAGACCATTTTTTATTTTTTAACAATTGCGTAAAGAGAGACAACTTTGGAATCCTGTTAACAGACTTGGAACGTTTCCTTCCCATAGCTCCAACCCGTCCTCAGACCAAGTCCATTCCATCCAGCGGTCGACCCCATATACGCATTCATAAATTTTTACATGTTCATTTAAAATAGGAATTTTCTCAAATATAAATTAATATTATTATAAGTATATTGTGCATATTTAGGCATAGGTTAGGTGTTTAGGTTCTGTTGGCGATTATTTGTATTTGTAGTACGTGGGTGAAGCATTTACAGCGTTGTGGTTCGAACACAATTCGTCAGTGAAGCACTTGTTCCGGAAGTGTTCGAACGAAATCACTTGTGAGTCGTGTGTAAACCGCAGCCCGTCCTCCAAACAAAGATCCAAAAGTGATTCCATCCACCCGCCAACCTCCTGTTTATGAATGAAAAACGGTTTACACACGACTCACAACTGATGACGTTCGAACACTTCCGGAACAAGTGCTTCACTGACGACTTGTGTTCGAACCACAACGCTGTAAATGCTTCACCCACGTACTACAAATACAAATAATCGCCAACAGAACCTAAACACCTAACCTATGCCTATATATACACAATATGCTAATATATTATAGTATTAATTTACATTTGAGAAAATTCCCGTTTTAAATGAACAGCATGTTAAAATTTATGAATGCGTCTGTGGGGTCGACCGCTGGATGGAATGAACTAGTCGAGAACGGCTTGCCAGTGAATATAAACGTTCCGAGAGCTTACGATGAGGCAGTTACGATGACTTAACCCACCTGTGAAAACACGTATTTACGACGCCAGGGGAAGGGGGGGGGTCGAAAGATCTCACGAAGTAGTGCCACAATTGATAAAGATTAAGCCACCCAAGAGGTGGCACGGGCATGAATAGCCCGTAATCTCACGAAGTAGTGCCACAATTGATGAAGATTAAGCCACCCAAGAGGTGGCACGGGCATGAATAGCCGTAATCTCACGAAGTAGTGCCACAATTGATGAAGATTAAGCCACCCAAGAGGTGGCACGGGCATGAATAGCCCGTAATCTCACGAAGTAGTGCCACAATTGATGAAGATTAAGCCACCCAAGAGGTGGCACGGGCATGAATAGCCCGTAATCTCACGAAGTAGTGCCACAATTGATGAAGATTAAGCCACCCAAGAGGTGGCACGGGCATGAATAGCCCGTAATCTCACGAAGTAGTGCCACAATTGATGAAGATTAAGCCACCCAAGAGGTGGCACGGGCATGAATAGCCCGTAATCTCACGAAGTAGTGCCACAATTGATGAAGATTAAGCCACCCAAGAGGTGGCACGGGCATGAATAGCCCGTAATCTCATGAAGTAGTGCCACGACTACTCTTAGTCACGAGTGCCTGACGTAATGAGGTAATTGCTCACGATGTAGTTAACGAGGGTCAGAAGTGAGGTGTTGCTGAGTGTTGACTGGTTATAGCGCGGGACCCACTGTCATCACACACTCTTACTTATGTTGTTTTACTGCTCCCAGAGAAAAAAGTCCACTACGGGCTCACCATAGCCCGTGCTACTTGGAATTTTGTGTTCCAAGTAGCAGATCTTTAACAACAAACAACATACTGCTCCCAGACCTGGAGGTGGGGTGTTGGGGTGGGGGGGGGAGTGTTGGGGGTGGAGGGGGGAGTGTTGGGAGTGCTGGGGGTGGTGTGGGGGTGGAGGGGATGGGAGGGGGGAGAGGGATAATGGGGGAGAGTGCATGATTAAATGTAGCAAATAAAACCAGGGGGGTTACGGGCTCACCATAGCCCGTGCTACATGGACACTTCGTTCTAAGTAGCTAAATCTGAAACAAGAGCCAGGGGAGAGAGGGCTAGGAGGGAACAAACAAACAAACACACGCGCACGTGGCGCCAGTATGGAAGTCAAGTATAAACACGTCATGGCGCCATTAGAGAGGTCCGAGGTGTTGCAACACTGGTCCCGGCATGAAGAGGACGGAGCTCCAAGGACAGCCTGAGGGAACTACACCTCACCATGGTGGAAAATGTCAAGCCATGAAGGGATATGATTATAATATGCAAACGTCTTAGAAGGCAGTTGACTAATCATTGAACAGGTTATTATAGCGACAGCCTCGACGCTTGCAGGTCAGCGTTCGATTCCCGATGGTGCAAGTGGTTGGACATCTTCACTCCAGTTCCCCTGTTTTCTTCTCGATATTTCTTCCCCCAAGAGGCAATGACAAGATGGAAAAAATATAAATGTGATGTAAGGAAGCTCTTCTTCACTCTTGAGAGTTGATGGAATGACTTAAGAGGAGAGACTAGGAGCCCATAGACACGTCCCAAGAGCTAACGCTCGGCCAGCTAGCACATACAGTAGACAACTTACACAAGGAAACTTATAGAAGTCTGTCAGTTGCCGGGAGAGGAAAGCGGACCACTGGACCCCTGCAGACTCTGTAAAGTTATTGGAGAAGCCATTAAGGAAAAGCTGTGAAGCTCATTCCAATTACCCTTCACTTCTCTTCCTCTTCCCTGTCTCCTCCTTCCCTTTTCCTCCATCCTCTTCAACCCTTTTTCCATTCATTTCTATTCCGAGAAATGGAGAGGTAAAAGGTTTATTTAAATTGCCAATATTCTCATCCCGATTTCTATATTCATAGTATAAACAGACCGGTGTCTGGCCCGGTATTGAAGGGTGGAGGGGGGGGAGAGGAACAGGTTGGGCAGGGCTGGGGAGGCAGTGACCGTACACACACATACACTGTTACCCAGAACTGACAAACTTTGAACAGACTTTAAGGATAATTTAAAGAAAACGAGAATGGATAAAGTAATTGATATGATCCAAGCACGTCATTCCGGCGAGTGAGAAAGCTGTTAAGACAAGATATTCAATAACGTAATGCAGGAGAGTGTGACCAAGATCCTATTCATGGTTGCTGATTGTACCTGGAGTGCTGAGGCTTGGGTAGAGGTGATTCATTACCTGTAGCCACCTGCCACAGGTAACGGTAACCCAACCTGATCCTGGCAACCACTTGTGTCGCACTCTCTGCTGGACAGTTTGTGCTGCACATATCAGGTCGAGTGTCTCTTTCCTATGAGATGTGAGTGTCGACAGTTGCATAGTTTTAAGGACAGATGTCGGCACATCACTCTAGCGTAAGTTGTGCTGTGTTTCATGTCTCTGACGTGTCTGAGCGGTGCTCGAGATATGGGGACTCTTGGCACTGTAATACTAGCAGTCTCTGGCTCCTCTGAACCTCTCCAACACCGTATCTAGGTGCTCTTCCTACACCGTATCTAGGTGCTCTTCCTCCCTTATGTTGATAATTCTCATGCATGTTGGCTCATCATTAATCACCCTGTTGACCAGACCACACACTAGAAAGTGAAGAGACGACGACGTTTCGGTCCGTCCTGGACCATTCTCACAATCGACTTGAGAATGGTCCAGGACGGACCGAAACGTCGTCGTCGTCCCTTCACCTTCTAGTGTGTGGTCTGGTCAACATTTTTCAGCCACGTTATTGTGACTCGTCGTGTAAATAATCACCCTTGTGGCAACACTTCTGTGAGAACACAAATATTAGAAAGAACTTTTTTAGTGTCAGAGTGGTTGACAAATGGAATGCATTAGGCAGTGATGTGGTGGAGGCTGACTCCATACACAGTTTCAAGTGTAGATATGATAGAGCCCAGTACGTTCAGGAACCTGTACACCTGTTGATTGACACGTTGAGAGGCGGGACCAAAGAGCCACAAGCTCAACCCCCGCAAGCACAACTAGGTGAGTACAACTAGGTGAGTACTTCGTATTGCCTCCTGGTTGTTGACGGTAGTGGTGGGGGAGTTAATTAAGTGCATGGCGTGGTAATTAACAAGGGTTCGACACCCCCTCGCCCCTCTACCTCGCACACACGCAAGTGCGCGTGCAAGCAATGTAAAATTCACACACTTCCTGAAATTTTTGTTGAGCAAATTCTACAGCGGCGCCTCCTTCTCTGGAAAGCGCATTGTAAATACGGAGTAATGGCTGTGAATTACGGTAACCCCTTCAATTAGTGAGTAACACATACATGTCAATTACTGTCCATAAACCTATTCCACCTCCTCAGAGATGGAGGGCGTGTCTACGATACAGCAAGCATTGCCTCTTTGGATGGCCACATGGAGACGCAGAAAGTCTCCATGTGGAAGAGTTGGTAAGTTCCAGGAGGCAGGAACTTACCACCTCTTGGGTCACTGGTTATCGTATGTTGTTATAGATTCAGCTACTCGGAACATGTTCCAAGTAGCACGGGCTATGGTGAGCCCGTAGTGGACCTACAGGTTATCATAGTGTGTCACCACTGACACACTTCGGTCCGACATGCATGCACCAGGAATTCATGGAAAACTGTGCCCAAATTGCACCACGAGTGTTGTCGGGAATTAGTCAAGGAGACTACGGGCTCACCATAGCCCGTGCTACTTGGAACTTTATGTTCCAAGTAGCGA